CCAAAGAGTCTCATCTGTATGGACCTAATTTATAGTGTGTTAGTTTGTTCAGGCTGCCTTAACAAAATACCATGGACTGTGGGGCTTAAACAACAGAAATTTATTTTCTCACGATTCTGGAGGCCAGAAGTCCAAGATCAAGGTATAGATAATTTTATTTTCTTCTGAGTCCTCTCTCCTTGGCTTGTAATGGTCACCTTCTTGCTGTTGTGTGTTGCATGTATCTGGTATCTGGTATCTCTCTGTGTGTCCTAATCACCTCTTCTTATAAAAACACCAGTTCTGGGCCCACCAAACAACGATGATGGCTGCAACCAAAAATAGCCGGGCATTGTGGCTGGAGCCTATAGTCCCAGCTACTGGGGAGGCAGAGGCAGGAGAATCACTTGAGCCCAGAAGATAGAGGTTGCTGTGAACTGTGATGCCACAGCACTTTAACCAGGGCAACAGCTTGAGGCTCTGTCTCAAAAAACAAACAAACAAACAAAACCCCCAGTAAAATTGGATTAAGCTCCAATCTAACAATCTCATTTTAACTTAACCACTTCTTTAAAGACTTAGTCACCAAATACAGTAACATTCTGAGCTACTGGGAGTTTGGACTCCTACACGTGAATTTGGTGTGGGGAACATATTTCAGCCTTTAACAAATCGTAAGATTCAGAACTTTTAGCTGATTGATACTACAGTAGAATGAAACTTCTGGGGGCTGTGGGAGAGGAGAGAGTATTTTGCACATGGAAGGATTATAAATAACTTTTGACCCCCCAAAAAATAAATTAAAAAAAAAAGAAGAAAAAAAAAAACTCCCACTACTTCACTTGACTAGCCTAAAAAAAAAAAAATAAAGAAAAAGAAAGAAAGAAAACTTCTGACCAGAGGGCAGACTGCAGTGGTTATAAAATATATCCAGAAATTCTTGATATTTCTGTCCTAAAGATGTGAAGTTTTATTCCCCTCTTCTTGAGTGTGGGATAGACTTAGTGACTTGCTTTCAAAAATAGAATATGGTAGAAGTAACTGTATTTCTTCCAAGGCTAGGTCAGAAAGGACATTAGAGGTGCCTCCTCATTGCACTCTCTTAGCTCTAAATGCTCAAGCAGCTTGTGAAGAGGCCCATTAGGCAAAGAATGGAGGATTTCTGCCAATGGTCATGAGTGAATCATATTGAAAGTAAATCTTGGCTAGGCGCCTGTGGCTCAAGCCGCTAAGGTGCCAGCCACATACACCTAAAGTGGTGGGTTCAAATCCAGCCCGGGCCTGCCAAACAACAATGATGGCTGCAACCAAAAAATAGCAAGGCATTTTGGCAGGCACCTGTGGTCCCAGCTACTTGGGAGGCTGAGTCAAGAGGCTCGCTTGAGCCCAGGAGTTGGAGATTGCTGTGAGCTGTGATGCCACTGCACTCTACCCAGGGTAACAGCTTGAGGCTCTGTCCCCCCCAAAAAAGAAAGTAAGTCTTCCAGCCTCAGTCAAGCCGTGAGATGACTGCAGCTCCAGCTAACATCTTGACTATAAACTTATGAGAGACCCTAAGCAAAAACCGTTCAGATTCAACAATCTCACTACAGGGTATATACAGCCAAAGGAAATGGAATCAGTATATCCAAGAGATATCTTTTTTTTTTTTTTTTTTTGCAGTTTTTGGCCGGGGCTGGGTTTGAACCCACCACCTTTGGCATATGGGGCCAGCGCCCTGCCTTTGAGCCACAGGCGCCACCATAAGAGATATCTTAACTCTCATGTTTATTATAGCATTATTCACAATAGCGAAGATTTGGACTCAACCTAAGTGTTCATCAACATGGGAATGGATAAAGGAGATGCAGTATATAAACACAATAGCATACTATTCAGTCTTTTAAAAAGGAGGAAATTCTGTCATTTGCATCAACAGGGATGAACCTGGAGGACCTGATATTATATAAAATAAGCCAAGCACAGAAAGACAAATACTGCATGATTCATATGAGGAAGCTAAAAAAGTTGAACTTCGGCAGCACCTGTGGCTCAAAGGAGTAGGGCACCAGCCGCATATGCCAGACGTGGCGGGTACAAACCCAGCCCCGGCCAAAAACTGCAAAAAAAAAAGTTGAACTTGCAGAAATAGAGAGTAAAATGTTGGTTGCCAGGGGCTAAGGGTTGGAGGAGGGTTGGGGAGATGTTGGTAAAAGGATATAAAATTTCAATTAGAAAGAATAAATTCAAGAGATCTATTTTTTGGCTATCATTGATAGCAATGTATTATAGTTTGAAAAATGGTGAAAGAGTAGATTTTAAGTGTTCTCACCACAAAAAATAACAAAATATGTAAGGTAATGCATATGTTTATTAGCTTAGTTTAGCCATTTTACAACGTGTACATATTTCAAAACATCAAGTTGTACATGGTAAATATATACAATTTTTGACAATTAAAAAAAAATCATTCAGCTAAGCTGCTTCCAAACTCTTGACCTACACTTACCATGTGAGCTAATAAATATTTATTATTGGCTCAGTGCCCATAGTCCAGTGGTTAGGGCACTGGCCACATACACAGAGGCAGGCAAGTTCAAACTGGCCTGGGCCTACTAAATAACAATGACAACTGCAACAACAACAAAAAATCGCCAGGCATTGTGGCAGGTGCCTGTAGTCCCAGCTACTTGGGAGACTGAGACAAGAGAATCACTTAAGCCCAAGAGTTTGAGGTTGCTGTGAGCTGTGATGCCATGGCACTCTACTAAGGGGGACACAGTGAGACTCTGTCTCAAATATATTATTTTTATTATTTTTAGTCATTAATTTTGGGATAATTTGTTATCCAGCAATAAACAACTAATACTAGCTTTTTCAAAGCGGGAAATTATCTATAGACTGGGAGAGTGGCTCCCTTTACATCATCCCTTTATTTGGTGTCCCCGCCCCCAGGATGACTAATCCAGTAAGTCCTCTAATAAATGCTTGTTAGCTATGAGGAATGGGGATCAAAAGGGGGTACAGAGTAGAGGTTGTAGAATGTCTTGTTCCACCTAATTTTCAAGCCCCTATATTAGGTTCTTTGCTCAGAATCTTCATGTGGAACTAGGTTAGAAATTCCACAATTACTAATCAGAGATGTAAGAATCTAGTTGTGGTATCTTACACCACTTATCCCACCACTTTGAGAGGCTTAGTTGGGAAGATCATTTGAGCCCAGGAGTTCAAGGTTACAGTGAGCTGTGAACACTCCAGCCTGGGAAACAGAGCACTACTCTGTCTCTTAAAAAAATTGAGGGGGAAAATTAGTCATATATTAGTCTGGATCTTATCAAATTACCAACATTTAACTGCTAAAGTGGCACATCATATGGTTCAACCTAATACAGGTATTTTTAACATATCTGATCCACTCACAATTTGTCCCTGCACCCCATAGCTAGGTGGTATCATGGTTCCATTTGGAAGATGTGACCATGATCAGTCATGGAAACTCTCCTGGAAGGCTGGCTTTTCTGGCCAAGATTGGCATTGCTACATGCCTTCAAGAAACTGGGATTATAACCCAAATGTACAATTTGGTTTTGGTCTTAGGACTTACCCCTAACATATTCCTTTCTTGTCATGTATTACTCCTGCTGTTACAGGGTAGAGGTGTGGGAGACTAGGGTACAGACCTGTAGCAGCCAGGGTGAAGGGAGTTTATCCAGGGTATAAGATCCTGTGAGTTGGATGGCGCCTGTGGCTCAGTGGGTAGGGTGCCGGCCCCATATACCAAGGGTGGCAGGTACAAACCTGGCCCTGGCCAAAATGCAACAAAAAATAGCCAGGCATTGTGGCGGGTGCCTGTAGTCCCAGCTACTTGGGAGGCTGAGGCAAGAGAATCACCTTAGTCCAGGAGTTGGAGGTTGCTGTGAGCTGTAACTGCACAGCGCTCTACTGAGGGTGAGGAGTTGGGGGTTGCTGTTAGCTGTGATGTTACAGCACTCTACCGAGGGTGACAAAGTGAGACTGTGTCTTTTTCTTTTTTTTTTTTTTTTTTTTGAGACAGGAGCCTCAAGCTATCCCCCTGGGATCACAGCTCACAGCAACCTCCAACCCTCCAACTCCTGGGCTCAAGCGAGTCTCCTGCCTCAGCCTCCCCAGTAGCTGGGACCACAGGTGCCCGCCACAATGCCTGGCTATTTTTTGGTTGCAGCTGTCATTGTTGTTTGGCGGGCCCAGGCTGGATTTGAACCCGCCACCTTAGGTCTGTGTGGCTGGCGCTTTAGCCACAGGTGCCGAGCCAAGACTGTGTCT